GCGTTGGCGGTGGAAGAAGAGAAAAAGAGAGAGAGAGAGAGAGAGACATCCGGTCGCGGAGAAAATAAGAAAGCAAATTACCTAGCAGTCACCTACCCCTTGGGGTGAGGTGTCGATATGACATGTAGGGAGACAAGGGACCTACGGCTGGCAACCCCTGGGGTTTATTACAAGGGTGGAATCAAATACACCGGGTGTCAAAAAATGAAACGCCACCCTACCGCGTTCTTTCTGCACCCTCCCATCGGAGGAGGGTGGCCGAGGGGGATGAGGTAACTTACGGGATGGTGGCAGGGGTTGGGAGTTGTAACGGAGTCGGCCTCGGATGATTCTTCGCGGATCAGGGGTTGCGGATGCCTTCCTCTTTCCCAACCATCGTCGAAGTGGTAAGCTATACGAAGAGAGATTCTTCCTGGAATTAATCGCAGTTCCAGAGATTCTCTTACTTTCTCCTTTCTCCGTTTCTTTCTTTCTCTTTCTTTTTTCTTATTCGTAATTTTGCAAGCTTCCGCTTCGTTTCGTAGCTAACGATGTTATTAAATGTTTAAACCAGCTCGAAATGTTCGGGCTGCGCCGTTTTTTCCCCCGGCTTTTTACAGGCAAGAATTTTATAGAAATAATCAATCGCTTGTCCCCGGCTTATTAGAGAAAATCGTTGTCTCTCGTAGAAGCATCGACAGGGACGATGTCTAAAGGGGATGACGGTATTCTCTCCCTCCGCATCGTCACCCCATTTGCCGGCTTCGCGCTCTTGTTTGTTTCGTAATCTTTAAGATCGGAAGGGTTCGAAGCCTCCCTTGGCTTCGAAGCCGACAATCTATTGTCCAACGCTCGCTACCCCCTTTTCCTCGATTACCGATAAGTCCCTGAAATTCCCGATATCCAAGCGAGTGGCCGCAAGGATCAAAATTCCAGGTAACGCGACGGTAATCACGGGAGATTAGGAAATTTTCCCCCCGGTTTTAAAAAGTTTTCGCGACGAGGATAAGTTTCAACGCGGCGGACGATTCATTTCCAAGGAGGAAACTTCTTGCAGGGAAGGGAGGGGTGGGGAAGAAGCGAACGGTGATTAAATATTATGACCGGCGCGATCTTCGAAAACTGCGAACTTATCCGCGAAAAACGTTACTTAGGATAATTAAAAAGAGTTTTTTCCCGGCGGCACGCGTCGAGTGGAAACACAATTTTCCCATTCGAGTGCGTTGATCGCGTTAATCCCGTCACGGGAAGAGTCTCGTGCTCTCGTTTCGCCGTGTAACCGTTATTACATTTCCTATATATATAAAATTTTCAAATAATCCGGGAAACGGGGAAGAAATTCTTCGTCTTTCTTTCGTTCGCAAAATTTTTTCCAATCGGATCGGATCTCGAAACGCGATTCTTTACGGAGCGATTTTCTTACGATTAAATAAACGGTCAGAGTAAATTCTCTAAATGTCTTCGTACGAGGGTCCGTTACCGTCACCGAGATCATCGTCACGAGGGGTGTACACGTCCACATCCTATCTTCGGGTTACGCGAAAAATCTACATATTTCTTTCATGTTCTTCAATACTCTGAGATGATTAAACTCTTCTCCATTGTCTATCTAATCCTCCTACATTATTAACATTTTTCGCAATACTCGTTCGAACCAGAGAATCACTCTCTATTATCCTATTTCGTTCATAATTGTTACACGCGATTTGGAAAATCGTATGACGCTTGCTCTGCTGGCAATTACAAGAAATCGAGACGCCGCGTGTGGGGAGTTACTGGCCAGGGGTTGGAACGCGACCGCTCCTTAATCAGGGTAGTTCCGTTACCTCCTGTCCCTCGCAATCGTCATCGTCCCTGACCAAGAACGACCCAAGAGAGCGGGAGCCGGAAGCGATCCCAGGGTCATTTCCATTCGCTCCTTGCAAAGTGGTATCATTTCCCAAGGGGGTGGGGTCTCTCCTGCATTGGTCTTCGAGGTCCTGCGGCACAGCTGCCCTTTCGCTCCATCGGGTACGGGTTCCGTGGCTGAGAGATCGATACACGCCGCGGAAGTGAACAATCCGCGGCAAAAGTCATTGTTGATAATGGAATTGCCCCGAACGACATCCACGACAGAGAGTGAGAAAGAGAGGGAACCCCAGATCTCTCTGAAATGCGATCTTCCGCCCGGAACTAACTACGAATGATGTAATTTTTTTCTCTCTCTCTCTCTCTCTCTCCTTTTTCCAGATTCAAAACCTGCTGGAATTATGCCCCGGCTGATTTGCATGGAAATGGGATACGTCCCGTTTCGCGAGTCTTGAATCGAGGGAACGAAGAGGCGGATGAAGAAGAATGGAGGACAGTCGGGCGACGAAACGATAAAAATTAAGGCGGTTAAAAATTGGGCGGAGGTGGAGGAGAAGGGTTCGATAGAAGGGTCAAGGAGGACAGTTTCGAATTGCGAGGCCTTCCGCTAGTGACAGTTTATCAAATTGCCGGGGTTGCCCCTAAAGGGATGTAAGGGTCGTAAGGTGGGACGTGGTTGGGGGGGTAGCTTATTAGAGCCACGACAGCGGCCCCCTCCCTCCCCCGGCTCCACCTTGAAACCTCCAACCAACCGCCATCCCGCCGTGAGTCTTACCACCTTGCTTCCTTCCATCCGCCCTGCCTGTCGCCTTCCTATCTTCCTAACCCGCCGCCGCTCCGTTTCCCCCTCCCCTCCCCACTCCATCTCTCGCTTCTACATAGTTGAAGCAAGCGTGGAGACGTGGCTCGACATAAAGGGTCGCCNGGGACCATCGTACTTGCTCCTCGTCTTTAATCTACGAGGTCACCAAGCAACGACTGCCACCATCCTCCTCCCGAGCAAATGAGCACGGCCTCCGCGAGGCTGCGTTCGAAAGATTTCGAGCGTTGAGCCAGATTTAATATTACGAGTCTCGTTAGGAGGAGAGGAGAGATGGAAATCCGCTTCTTCTTCTTCTTCTTCTTCTTTTTCTTTTAGATAAACGAATAAGACATGAGAGAAAGAGAGAAGAAAAAAATTTCGAACGTTATTCTTTATACGTTTTAAACGTCGTTTTCATACAGTTGACACGTTGAACGTTGTATCTCGTCGATTCTCGCCGGTGAAGAAAGTATCGACGCACGGGTCCCAGGGGATTTGTAGTTCTTCACGCAACAACGGGGCCGGGCTTGTCCTACCAGTCTGATTCAAAAAGACGGGCCGGCGCCAACTCGCCAACTCTCTCTAGGGGGTAGTTTTAAAATTCAACCCCGATACTAGGTCTGAGGGGCCGTATGCTACACGATGCCCATATCAATTCGATGGGATCGATAGGAGAGCATCTCGTTACGACTCTTACCTAGGAGGGATTATCGACGAATTCTCGGCGAATTACGCTCGATATATTCCCCTCGAAACACCTTCAAAAAACAATTATCATAACGCTGTTATAACGGCCTTGATTCGAACGGAGAACGAGTCTCGTTGTTATTAAAACTGGCTCGATGAGGAAACAGAAGAACTCTTTTTGTTTTCGAAGCTTGTACGTATCGTCGGTGTATTCACGGACTCGTATCGCTCTTTGCCCTTTCTCTTTTGTTTTTTTCATTGTCGGGACACGGGGCGGGGGCGCAAAACGCGTTCACCCCACCCTCCTTCCCCTCCCCCCTCCGAAATGTATGTCTTCGCCCGCGAAGGGAATCCTTGATAATCCAGATTTATCTATCTCTGCCGATAATATGAGCTGCCTATGGCGTACAGAGCATCACGACTTTCATCGTGTTTTCCATAAATCAAGGTGGCCCGGGCCGCAGCCACGGGGGCGAAAAATTGATCGGGAGGTGGTGGGCATCGGGGGCAGGTTTTAAGTTTCGATGCGTGTTGCTTCGCTCGCTAGCTAGCTCGCGCGCCGCGCTAATCGTATCGATCCACCACTCTTAATCCATTAATGAACTTCCCGGGCTCGTTTTACGCCGGCTACCTGGGCTTTTCGCGCTCGATCCGTTACATCCGACGTACATGTACCGTAGAACTGTATCCCCCGATCGACAGACGTGAAACTCGCCGACCTGTTTCCCTTTTGCCTCTTTCGCATCGCCAGGTGGCTCTAACGTTTACAATTTTCTGCTCGCTTCGATCAATATATGTGAATTCGTGCGAGAAGAAAAGAGGAAAAATAAAAATCGTGTTAAAATAATGCATCGTTGAGACGTACAATAGAGAGAGAGAGAGAGAGAGAGAGAGAGAGAGAGAGAGAGAGAGAGAGAGAGAGAGAGAGGGAGAGGGAGGGAGAAGGAAAAATCGCGTTTTCTCACGATAATTACGAGGACATCCCCTATCGTCTTCGCCCTCGTCCTCACCCTCGTGCGTTCTGCATACGGGGATTGACTGAAATCCTTTTTTTACAGAGCTGGTAAACAAGCGATAGGTCTCTCGGCCTCTTTCACGACGACAAATTCCTCAAATATTTATCTGTCTTTCCCTCGGAACCCTTCAATCGTCGCCGCCCCAAACGCCGCTTCCGTTTCACGCTCGCGGAGTATGTCAATCCTGACGCCTATCGACGTATGACAAATACCTCGTCCCCGATGCTTGCACTCCTTGTCAGCCTTGACAACCGGGACAAAAGGACGAGTCGAAGGGAGGAAAAAAATTCGTAAGGGTGTCTGACGTCTAGTCACCGTCGCCTCGCCTTCCTTTTGCCCCGTGACGATCGTTTTTTCTTTATCCATAAAAATATTTCTTTCTCATGGGTAATAATTTTCTTCCACGATCTTCCATATATTCAACATTTTCTCCCCTGATCAAAAGTTTCCTTTCCGCAGCTGTAAAGGATGTAGATGCAAATATGTTTCGACTCGTCCGATAGGTTAGATCGCCTGTTTCTGACACGCGCCACTAGTTTGCGATCAATTTATTTTTCCCTAATCGGTCGTTAATTGTTAAACTTAGATGGGCGGTCGTCGGCAATCCCGCAGTTAGACTTCAACTTGGAAGAAAAGAGAGGAGACGCGTCGCGGGACCAAGGAGGAAAAGGAAGCGAGAATCAGGGGGAAAAGAGGAGGGAAAGAGGGGGGGACGATCGGCGAAGGAGACGAACGACACCAGTTTGGGAGGAGGGTTGAGAAAATTTGTTAGGCAGGGTGAGGATCGAGACGAGAGAATCGAGAAGTTTGAGGAGGGAATCGAGGCGGGAAGCCAAGGCGCGACACGAACAGTGGATTGGGTTACCGAGATAATTAGAATGATGATTAGGAGCGGAACACGCCTCGTTGACCAATTCTTTCTCGGACCCTTTCTTCGGCCGATGTCGCTCCAATTGTCGTTCGAGAGATCAATTTTCTTTCGAGGGGTAGATAGAAAATTGAATGAAGTGGAAGTGTAAATGACATAACAATTATCGAACCGACGATCGAATTACTACTCCGTAGTGTAAATCTCTCTTATGATGGAAGATGCGTTTGGATGATTTCTAGCGTTCTTCTCACTACTTAGAGAGGAAAAAAAAAAAAAAAAAAAAAAAGAAAAAAAATGCTGAAGTTGACCGAATTCGTAGCACATCGTAGCTCTATGAAGACGATTGGTGAAATCGCTATTGACAAGCTTCGATGGCCGACATTACAACACCCTAGTGACACATTTTTATGCGTCTCAGCGTGATTGGTCGTTCGAATCCTCGCGAGATCACTTGGTTAGATATGGATAACCATCGTAAAAAAAAGGGCTGAGACAAATAGAATACTCCTGAATATTTGGAACGTCAATTCGGTAATTCGTAAGCAGGGCGAATATTTTCGAAGCGAAAATGGTATCGGATACAGTTAGATTTGACTTGGTAGATTTTTCTTTCTCGGTTATGCTTTCATACTCGACGTTGCTTAGCTCCATCCGCGTTGAAGTAGACCTGAATATTTGATCGGTCCTTCAACCTTTGCCTCCTTCGCCCTCCCACAAGCTTCGCCTCTTATCTAACCCTCAGTCCCAGCTGCGGTGAATTATTTAACGCCCCCAGGGACACCAGTTACCAACATACATCCAGTCATACGTCTAGTGTCAGCCAGATTCTCAAACTCTTTTGTTCGTATCATTGTTCTACGTGTTACCGATAAAGGTAATTGTCGATTTGTATTAATGTACGTTTTGAAGTTTATGATTGAACAATTTTCGATTACAATTAATAGTGCACTGAAATGACAAGATTAAAAAATATTTTATTCTTGAAATTATAAAATTGTAAAAAAAAAAAAAAAAAAAAAAAGTTGTAAAAAGAGTATCTTTCTCTACAAAATATCCTTACGTTATTTCGCATTTATTTCCTTTCACATGAATGAACTCAGGCAGATGAATATGCAGTAATACAAGCGATGAAACCTAAATTGCCGTAATTAATTAGCGAACCTAAGCTGGAAGACAAGTTTGGAATGTTTAAAGGTCATTCATTTGCAATTAAATTGAGTTGGAAAGGAGAGAACAAAGAAACTATGTATAGCAGTCCTTGTGGAAATATTTGGAACCTTCTTTGAAACCTTCTTTGGAACAAAGAGACTAAAAATCGATAGATCATATTTCAAGTTTGAAAAATAAGTTTCTAATTAAGAATAAAAATAAAATAAAATATAATAATTAAGATAAAATATAAATCTATTGTAATATATGCATATTTTTTATCTTATTATATTCTAAAATCATTTTATCATTTTAATGTCACTTTCAATGTTATTGATTCATTAGAATAAACTTATAATTAATAAATTGAAATAAAACTAAATATAACTATAGAAGAATAAATAAAATAGGAAAGAATACCTTATATAAAATTTGCAGAAAATAGAATTCTTCTTATTATTAATAAAATTCATTATATATAAAACATATGAATATAGTTGAAACTTTGCAGAAATTATATTGTTGATTTTTTCTAATTTTGATTATATCTTGACCATATAAATAAAATCTTATATTATAAAATTATTAATTAATAATATATTATCAATAATATGTCATATTTTTCATTTTTGCTAAAATTGAATATAATATTGTTAATAAAAAAAATTTTATTTGTTGTTTTGAGAACTTGTTGAATATGATTCATATATTGCATTAAAACGCATATGTTGAAGCTAGTTTAGTTAGTTGAAGCTAATTAGAATTTATATTCTTGTCGCAATAATTTAAAGATTATACATAGTAACGAAGGTTATTACGTATAATTATGAGGTTCTGTCAAGTTTGTGCAATCACTTCCAAATGATAAAACTGATACTATTTTTCACCTATCATTCTTTTGAAAATGAATCAAAACATAACACAATAAATGAATCGTGTCTAGCTCAACAAAATTCACCAAAATTTTCTCTGAACTTATTGATCACAAAAATTGAAATAAAAACATGAAATATTATAAGTAGATATTACATTACATTAAAACATATTTAAATTTGATTTTAAATGTGAAAAAATTTCAATATCTATATTAATAATTAATTTAATATATAATAATAAAATATATATAACCTTATTCTTTATTCATAATAATAAAAATAGAATCATACAATATCTCAATATGATAATTCTGCGTACAATATCTCAATATAATAATATAATTGCAATATTATATATGTAAATAATAAATTTTATAATTACGTGTAGTTCAAATAATAAAATAAAATAAATTTTAAGAAAAGTTAACCTATCATTCTACGTCGCCATCTTCGATAAACTGAAGTATCGATTATTATGATTTTAAAGCGACAAATTCAAGAATGTCGAATTGAAAGCACAACATGTGAAACCAAATGGATCAAAAAATAAAATTTATTACAATCACATTAATATTAAAAAATGCTTCTTATATGTATCTAAATTTTTTTAATATAATTTTTATAAATAATTTTATAAAAATGTCCTTTAATAATATTAAAATTTATCAGCATTGATAATCAAATTCCATTTAGCCTAAAAACAGAACGTGATTGATTTTTAAATATGCAGCTTATCAATTTGACTTTGTTAACATCTTATCTCACTTTCAATTAATACAACACATTTTATCACCAACTGTGTTTAATTAATATGTCATCTTTGATAACACAGTTTAAGATTTAAATACGTAGCAAGCAAGTCAGTAGTCGATTAAATATAGTGACACGAAAATGGCGGAAGGCATGGATTTAATGTATTTTGATCTCAGACTTGTTCACGATCATTTTGATCGAGCTCTCGTTCAAGATGATGATATTGATCTCAAAGCCTATTTGGATGCCTATAATGAACTTTACAAGTAAGACGATAACAGATTATATTTTTTATTACATATAACCTTTTCGCTAATAGTTAAATATTTTATCTAGTTAGTGTTCATTTTGATTTCTTCGTGAAATTCACATAAAAATCTTGTGAAAAACAACTGGTAATGATAATATCAATGCCATATGCATATAACATCTTTTATTGACCCAATTTTATAAATGAATATAAATGAGCACTTTCTATCTTTATTTTTCTCTCTGACATATGTATAATATAATTATTTATGACACAGATTTTTTCAACTGATGGGTAGTGTTTTTGGCTTTGTATCCTCGGATTTAAAGCAAAAGATTGAGATATTGATTGATTTGATCAATAAAAATGATCAGAACTATGGTACAATAAAGACTATGATAGAATATGAGAAAGAAAACAAAATTTTAGATAAAGGAGACTATTCGAATGGAGCTCGTACATTATTGAGGCTTCATAGAGGCTTAGGTACTACAATGTATGAAAATTTATTTATGAGTATTTATTTTTAATTCATTTAATAATATGTAGTTTTAAATTTTCAGATTTTATTAGAGAATTTTTAAGGCAATTGGGCGATCTTTCAGATAGTGATAAAACATCCAGTTGTTGCCAAGATGCTTATAATAAAACATTAGCTAAGCATCATCCATGGGTGATTAGAAAGGCTGCAGTGGTTGCCATGTATACAATGCCTACCAGAGAACTTTTATTTAAGAAGGTTAATATTTATATTTTGTTATATAAAATTAATAAATTATTCTGAAATTTAATTTTTTTAGGTTTGTGGTTCAGACGTTCAAAGGAATGTCGATGTCCTGCCAAAAATGTTAGAAGTAACTGCGGATGTGTTCAATCGTACACACAATCTCTATGAAATTCATCAACTTCATAGTCTACCATAAAAATATCTTTAGAAAAATAATGCACTTACTTTTTGGTGCTTGAGAAAGCAAACATTCCATATATGTGATGCATATATCAATTCCATACATACATTGAATATCGATCTCATTAATGTTTTTTGTGATACTTTACTTATTACTATACACTATCGTATTTATAATTATCGAAAACGTGCAAAATGTACTAGCTTAAGTTTTCATATTCATACTATGTATGTTGTAATCATTTTATTATGTATTTATTAGTATTTATTAATACGGGAATTGTATAATTTATAAAGAATCGGTATGGCTATGGGATATTAGCTATGAAATTTTAATATTATAACACATAGGATATCATAATATCAATTAAGTTGAAACAATGTAGATTTATTTATCCTACCTATTTACATATATTTTACAAATATTTTATATAGAAGTGGCAAACATAATAACCTAAAATATTAACTATTATATTAACTAAGAGTCCTATTTGATACAAACGCATTTATATGTTCGTAATCATCAGGTACCAGCATTCCTAAAAAACATTATTCTATTAGTAAAGAGATTCTTAATGCGAGAATGATCTTTCAAATCTTACCAGCGACACTGGCTGTAAGAAAAGTGATAACACATCCAGAAATGAAGGCTCTCATGACAATATTGCTTATAATTTCTTTTTTATCAGGAGCCAAAGAAGTCAATATGCTTATAGTGATTCCAACGGAACCAGGATTCGCGAAACCACAAATCGCAAAAGTAGCTATAGCTTCGATTCTACCAAAAATTCGACCTTCTTTCTTATATTTTCCCAATTCTTTGTAAGCGACAAACTCATTTACTGTAGTTTTCAAACCTATTAAAGTTGCTACATCCTCACAATGATCCCAAGGTACTCCCATGACCCAACTTATAGGTATAAATACTTTCGATAATATAAGCTAAAAAAAATATGTTTTAGAAAAATAATATCAAACGATTATTTCTTAATATTAATATTTTTCTTTTCTACTTACTTCGAAACTTAACTTTTCATAACCAACTAGTGATCCTACCCAAGATAATAGAGAATTTACTAATGCGATAAAGGACACAAACGCAACAATATTAGCAATTATATTCAATACCAAAGGAATTGCTGCCGTAGCACCTTTACTCGCTGCGTCTATTAAACCAGTGTCTTTTCTAAAACAATTTTTTTTTTATGATAATTAATACATTCGATAAAAATACAGTCATGCATTACATTACATTATTCACAAATTTATTACAAACTTACGATTTTTCTAATTTTACATTATCGGAAGTAATTATAATCTTTTCAGTTTCCGGATAAAATAATTTAGCGTAACAGAGAGTTGCTGGTGCTGCCATCAAAGTAGCGGTTATCAGATGAGCAGGATTTGCACCAAAATTAATATATGCGGCAAGAACAGTTCCTAAGTTTAAAATGAAATTAATGTTTCTTTGGGAATCAATTAAATATCGCTTGCTGTTTATTCACCTGAAACGGTACCAAAACCCGAACTCATGAGAGTGTGCAATTCCGAAGTAGTTAATTTGTTCAAATAAGGTTTGATCATTAACGGTGTTTCTGTCTGTAAATGAATGGACAGTCACAATATCTTAAGGAAAATCTTAATCCAATACATAATACCAATTACCATTCCAATAAAAATATTTCCAGCACAAACTACTGATTCACAAATCGAAGTTCCCATGAGTTTTTGCAGAAATTTACCCAGATTGAAGATAATCCATTGCATAGTACCTAAATAGTACAACATTTGAATGATAAAATTAAAATAAAAGAGCACAGGCAGGACCTAAAAGAAAAAATACTTGATTAATGTAATAATGATTCATTCAATGGTTTCAAAAAGGAAAGAATTCATCACTAACGGTGAAAGCAAAAATGCCATCTGCGATCAATTTATCGGAGAATACGAAGCTTGCACCAATCTTTGCAAAGTTGAGAAATGATTCTACTTTGTCGGCAATACATTGGAAAATAGATCGACCAACAGACCATCGTATCGTAAAAAGACCAAAGATAATTTGCACGATCAATGCGTTCAAGACGAGTTTCCATTTTATCTGAATTTATAAAAATTACAGCTGTTATTTTCTTATCCTTTATTTTTCCATTTGTTCCGATAGATACGTTAATATATTAAATGATAAACAAAGAGAATCTGAGATTGTAAACATTTATATTATTATATCGATAAAAGAATTAAAAATAATTAATTAATATAGTTCTTAATATCAATCTTATATAAATAAGATTTACTCACGTGACTAGGATGCTTTGAGAATATCCATCCTAAACTTATCAATACGATGATTCCGATTCCACTCATTAATCTTTCTCTCGAGTTTACAGTGTCGATAATAAGGAATACAATGATAGCAGTAAAGATACATGTATAAATTATTGTTTGACCGATAATGTTGCCATATCTGCAAAAAAATAATATAAAATAGTTAGTAAAAACTTTTAAAACAATGAATATTTTATTTCGTCCATCGAATAAATATTTTACTTTATCTTTTGGAAATTGTTGATGATATTGTTGATGTATGGCCAATGACAATAAACGAATATTTTTCCAAACAAAGGTTTCAGGGCATAATGATAAAAAATTAAGCCATAAACGATCACTAATATAAGGAGTAACAAACCATAACCATGGCACCAATCGAAATAATTGTAATCTAAGAAAGACTGGATTATAATAATATAATAAAATAATATAGAAATGAAACAATCAAATTTTTATGACTGTAACAACTTACTATTTTTCCAATATATTGTGGCAAAAATAAAATAAATTAATACAATTAAATTCCCTAGAGTCATCAAGAAAAAATGAATTACTCGATGATGCTTCGAAAGGAAATGGTCCAATGCATCGTATACCGATTGTATATAATCACTTGATTTTTCTCTTGTCCCCTGGAAGAGGTATAGTTCTTAAAAAAATTAAATATAATAATTAAATATAATGAAATGATAACAAAGATAATATTTCGCAACAAATTTAATTCTACACAATTTTATCTATTTTTATCGATATTTTAAATGAAGAACCTTATTGAATCTACTAATCATCGATTAATTGCAATGAACAATGGCATTCTTTAACAAGAATTACAAATATGTTACATACCTTGTTTTCCGTTATCGATTCGTCTGTCAGATGACCAGTCTCTAACACGTTTAACTCGGTATTCTAAAAAAAAAAAAAAAAAAAAGAAAAAAGAAAAATAGAAAAACTTTGTTAGAAATAGTTAATCGTGGAAATGCCAACGACTTTCTTTTTTAACCTCAATCGAACAAATGGATTCTTGGAAATTATATTTGAATTAACGTAAAATGTAACTAATAAGTTAAATGAAGTTATAAAGGATTTACTCTTATCGAAAAATTTATATATAATTATTGCATAATTGAATAAGGATATCGCGTAGGAAAAATATGAAATATAAAAATACCTCAAATCCTGGATTTGCAGACATGTCTCGTTATGTCACCAACGTATACTAAACGAGAAAAAGAAAAAAAAAACAAGTTAAAAATTTAATTATTCGTACAAAACCGAACAATTATACAATTTATAAACATAAGTAATTTATAAATGGAATGATAACTGATTAAATATACGATAATACCGATAAAAGTAATTCGGTTGTTTAATATATTAAACCGATTGTAAAACAATCATTTTCTTCTAAACACAATAAAAAAAAAAAACTATCAACTATTTTTTCAACATTGATTATACCGATCGTTTTAAATTATATAGTTTTTATCACATACTGCAGAAAAATCTTACAACTTGGATTGGAATCGAAACTATAAACGTTAAGTTACAAATTTTTAATCACGATTCGTCACTGGATAAGAGAAAAATGTTACTGACACCGAATATCTCTTATTAACATCATATATACTATCATGCCATTGATATCACGGTTCACGTGCACCGAGATAAGTCTCTTGGATCACTAAAGATCGGATCATTACCGTTTGACGGTGCTTCGATGATTAGATAGTAGGGGGAGGCTAATAATGGATTTCGAGTACAAGATTTTACAATTGACCTCGTTTTACGCGATCGACCTCGAGTCCCGAGCAGGGGACAGGGGTTAAGCGCCGTTATCGCGAAATTCTAACTACCGTGCGATAAAATAATCAAGTACATTTGTTTATCGTTCTCTGTGCATGTATATATATATATATATATATATATAATAAATTTTTACAATTAATTTACAAATCGTAAAACGAAAAAGAAGATCGGAGGGGAAGGAGAACGAAAATATCTCGAAACAAATATATAAATATTTTTACATAAATAAAATCGGGAAGCAAAATGGGGAATTAATGGGATACGATACGAAAGTAATTTTCGCTTTCGAAATGCGAAAATAATTGATGAGCGAGACGAGAAGGGGACATCGATTCCTTCGATTCGAATGCCTCGTCCATCGATCGAGCCCTACGAGCCCCGAATCCGAAAGGAACCATGAATTTCGAGGAGGCAGGGCAATTGTATCGGCGGTT